CTCATCGGACTTCACTTCTTTCACCTCTGCACCACTCTTTACCTTACTCCCATTACCATCTTTTGCCACAACAACGTCATCATCATCGACATCCCACGACAGATCATCGTCTTCATCAGCCGAAATCGCTCTCTTCACAAGATTCGCCCTAACACTCTCCTGCTGCTTCAGTTTAACCACTCTGTAAAAATACCGACACCAAAACGTCTCGTGATCAACCACACTCGGAACAACCCTTTCGTAAACACCCTCCAAATTCCCATTCTCCCCAACCATATCCTCGATTTCGCCCTTCTTCTCATCCAGATCAAACGTCAGTTTCCACTTCTTGTACTCCTCCACATCCTCCGGCTCTTCACAGAAAGTATTCGGATCACTCTGAACAGCACTCACCTGAGATTCAAACCAACTGTACCGACCCGAATTCAAGCCCCGATTCGTTTCCGGGGTCTCGGGTTCCCCATCCGACCCGAAAGCTTGGGTTTCCTTCGAAATGATTTCGGCTGTTGACTTCAGCACACCATCCAGCACGCCCTGCGCAGCTGAAGTGCCGGCTTCGAGTGAAGCCGGGAGATCCTTCACGGCTCGGCTGGCGGCCTCCCGGATTATCTCGGACTCTTTTTTCAGACCCGATCCGAATTCCTCCAGATCTTTACGGTACGTTTCGATCACCGATTCGGATCGGGTAGCCAAAGTTTTAATCAAACCTCCGAAACTCCACCCATCAGCAGCAGTGCCTTCCTGAGCGGCGGCGGCGGCGCCGCCGGGATTGGCATCTTGATGAGGCGGTTTGAGGGGGGAATTTGGACCGGGTTGATCGGAATTATGGGATTTGGGAGGGTCCGGATCGTCTAGTAAAATGGATTTGAAGAAATTCATGGTGAAATGAAGGATTGGAGGAGGTTGTTTCGGCTGTTGTTTAGATACGATGATTATTAGAGTTTAGAACAAATCCATTTTAAGCTCTGTTGGGCTTATTTAGGCAGACTAGGAATGTTCAAAAATGGGCTTGGATTATGACCAAGGGTATATTTGTCTTCTTACTAAGTCAAGAGAATTGCACCTCGAGGCTTGCTATTTGCAGAGGGCATATTACTAGGTTGCGGTGAGATTTTAGTCATTCTTCCAAATTTCACAGGAAAATCGAAATCCTCTCCACTATCAATTTCTTAAATTTTTAGACTTTGAAATTCGTTTCGATAATATTCGAAGAACAACAACAATTATTTGAATGGCCGATCTGGATTACGATTTTGGGTAAAAATTAGTTGTTCGATATATATATTTTTTTTTAATTCATGTGTTTCGTGTTGTTGAACAAGTTTCGTGTTCAATATTACGAAACAAACAAAAACAAATCATAGTTTTGTTTTGTCACTAAACTTATGCACAAGTTTCTTGTTGTAGAGCATTAAGCCCTATTTTCTTTTTTATTGTTTCGTGTTACAGAACAGGACGAAACTATCAAATTTTACCTATTCCAAAATCGGAATGCATCATAGTTTTGTTCTTAAGAGTTCGAAGTCTGAAGGTGGGTTTCATGCTCTAAAGTCTAAAGCACGAAACGTTCAATTAATTTTTTTTTTAACATTTTGTGCCCTAAGGGCCTAAAGCATGAAGCTCACCCAATTTGTATTTTTTTTTCGAACTCTTAATCCCTAAGACCTAATCTTAAACCTACATGTCTGAAAATCTAACAAGCATGAAGATCCCCAAATACTCTCACATGTCTGAAAATCCAACAATTTTAGAAGTTTTTTCAATAATATTGTAAAATTAGGGGTTTCTTAACCAATAAATTCGTCAATAAGAGTCTTTTAATAATATTTGCTTTGTTTGAAAATTAGGGATTTTATAGGGTATGATTTGATTAGGTATCACTTTTAAAGGTTTGGAGATGCACTTGGATTTTTTAGGATATTATCTAATAAGTATTCCAATATTTGTATTTTATATTCAATATGACTAAACAAAAAGAAATTTAGAATTTCTAAGACTTCCGATTTTAGAACAAGGTTTTCAATTCCAATTTCTTATTTTTTTTTTTTTCAAACTATATCTAAAAACATTTGAAACTGAATTGGAATTAGTTATTCACTTAGAAAAGAAGATTGATTATTTTCTTCCAAAAGTATTAGTTCTGATCCGATCCACGCGATTTTCAACCCTAGTTAAAAGTAGTAGTAATGATAATTTTATATAGACTTTACTCATGAGATGGCAGAGTATCACGCTGTTGTGTACAAGTTAAATACTTATTAGTCTCGTACACTAAAAACTATTGAACTATATATCGAGTAATTTAGGGATTTTCGACTATCAATTAACTTGAATATTCAAGTTAGACAACTAAGATGATGGAACTTTAATTTTTGATGAACTACGATGAGCTCAATTGCTCAAATGTCATAGAGTTTTCATTTTGATTATTAAAATATTAGATGGAGAAAAATATACCAAATATAATCGTTATATATAAAATAAAGAAACACTAGAACAACTTAAGAAACTCTAATGACATATTTAAATATATATATATATATATTATCTCCAAATTTGCAATTATTTTTTCTTCTAATTACATTCACACCAAATCTTAACTAGCACACAATCTTAATCTACTATCTCTGTATATTTTTAGTTGCTATCATTATTAGTATCTCCTATTTTCCAACCTACTTTTTTTTAATTCTTGTTTGCTTCATTTATTTAATGATCAATTTCATATAATAACTTGTTCTAAATATTGGTTATGGCGGCTGATATATCGGCCGCCATATCGGTGGCGTGGCGTAAACCTTTACGATATTTGTGGGGCGGTTTTAAAAATCGGTTTTTGACGATGAGGCGGTCTGTGGCAGGTCAAACCGATATATCGGGTCAAATTTCGAGCAATATATCGAAAAAATATCGGTTTCAAATTTATTTATTTATTTTTTTAATTAAAAGGAAAATAGGGTTTTTACTTTTTATTTTTTTTTCAATTCTAATACATTATCTCTTTCAATCAAAACCAAACTCGCCAACACGGGTTATAACTTCTAAAAATATATAAACTGACTAGCACGGGTTATAACTTCTAAAAATATATAAACTGACCAGCACGGGTTAGAATATATAAACGATGGGGAGAGAATCATGCTTAAATATTTTTTATACGTTTTAAGTATTTACAAATAATATTTAGAAATATATTACACTAATTCTAAAAACCGATTTATTTTTTATATATCTCCGATAAATCACCGCCGCGCCGATTTATCGTGTGGCGGTCCCTAACCACCTCGGACCCGATAGCCGATATCTAGAACTTTGATAATAACAATTAAGTTTATTATTGTCATGTATTCAACTAATTATTATTTTTCACTTTTGAAATGTTATCCGTGCTTCGCATGGGAAAAACGCAAAGTACCTAAAAAGGGGTAAACTCAATCCATAAAATGGTTAAGACTAAAGATTCTAGGCTAGATTTTGCCCCCATTTCAAGAAAGGTAGAAGTGTGATCTTCTCTTCTTGAAGTTATACGCTTTTGACTGCTTTGGGGAAAATATATAAAATGTTTCAAACTTCCTAGGTAGAGCTTATAAACAAAACAAAAGGACAACAATATTAACTGCTTTTGTTAGCCCCCAATCTAAGATTAGAATCACTTGGGGCAATGTATTTTGTTCATAAACAGACTTTCCATTCTTGTCCAATTCACATTTCACAGCATTTTTTCTTTTCTTTAAAAAAAATTAAATAAAATTGTTTTTTGGCCCCAAAAAAAGGTTCAAGAAAATGGGCAGCAATTCCCAGCCTGTTGGCATCTGGCAAAGGCTGTTCAACTTCATAATGAGTAAAATGTTCCGTCCAATGCCTCCGGATTCCGAGATCGTAGTCGAGTTTATGCACACGGACGACCTCGAAATCTGTACTCAAACCAACGAACCAATCGTAGTGCAAAAGGGTTCGGAGGAAAACGAGGAAAATCAACATATCTCTGCACCGAATTCTCATCAGAAAATCGGTCGAGGAAAAGGGCTCCAGGAAGTGGAGGCCTTAACCGCGACTAAAAAGAAAGGCCCGAAAAAGAATGTCACTTTCAAAGAAGACGATAAAAAAGAGGCTAATAATAATAATAATCTTCTCTCACCCGATGAAGAAGCAAAGAAGGCGAATAACAACGGTGGTTCGCATGAAGAGACGAAGGAGAAGCCACCTAGGCATTGGGGGCCTCTTCTGAGTGTGGCGTCGAACATTAACGAAAAGTCCGATGCGTTCATCAATAGGAAGAAGAAAGCCATGCGAAGAAACTACACCCTTGATCCCGAAAAGTCTTGATTTATTTATTTAATTATTTAATTCTATATTTCGTTATAATTCGTGTGACGTGAAAACTATGAATTTCATTTTTCAACAATTTCGACATAGTATGGAAAATCTTTTGTTATTTTATTATAAGTTTGGTGATTCATGTGATGCCAACAATATTAATAATAGTTTCGTTTTCTTGTTTCATCTGTGTCATCGTTTTCGCTAGTCGTTTTTCCTTATCATTATTAAATGATCGTCAGCTAAAGCAAAACGAGTAACAGATTATATACCAGACACGTAAAGAATACGACAAGGAATTCGCATTATCAAAAATTGAAGAATTCAATATAGTGAATAATAGCAAGAAATGCCATGGATCTAATTAAATTCAATAAATAAAAAATAGTACATTAAATTTTAATGAGAGGGATCAACAATAATCTAATATACATATATTGGATGATCAAGCTCTGAGAATCATTCAGCAATCTTTCTGCACAACTCTTTCTTCCCCTTCTATTATCTCCCTCCACATTTCAACAAAACAATAAACAAATACATAAATAAATAAAATAAACAATAATTTTTTTCTTTTTCTTTTTTTTTTTTGGAAAATCCAAATGTTAAAAACAGACTCGAGATTTTTCGATACGTAATTTTTTTCTTGGACATTTTTTTAATTTTTTTTTTTGAATTTCTTTTTTAATTAATATAGTATAGTCGTTGTATAACGTTTTTCTAACCTCCTACCGTAATCAACCAACCCTTCGTAAAAAAATCCAACATCATCCAACAATATCACTCTTCAAAAGAATGCTTCGACGAGCGATAAAGATCGTAAGGCGCCCAAAGATGGTCGACATTACAAGGCTTCCTCGAATCGAGCCTCAACCAAGGCTTCCCTTTCCCACTCCAATGAAGAAGACTAATCGGACCGGGATGCAATCCCCTACATTTCCCTTCGATATTATCACCACCCAAACCATGCTGATTCCACCTATGGTCAACCGGCTCGATATTACCGGCAAGTACAAGCAAGAAGGGGGGCAAAGACCCCAATTGATAAATCCTCTTATGCTTCTGCACAACCATCCAATCCTCGACTTTCTGCGAATATCGCCCGTTACGCCACCTGTCCAAGTCCATGACCATCACCCCCGTGTTGAAGTAACACGGCTGTCGCCCGTCGAACGTGCTCGACAGCTCCGGTGCCGACCAGAATGCGTCGGTGAAGTAGTTTGTTAGGTTGGCATGGCAGTACTCGGGCGCGGCGAGGACTTTCTCCCTGAGGTCAACCTCCCATAGCTTCGCGACGTCGTCGACAACGACGAGGTCGGAGTCGAGGTAGATGAGGCGGTTGACTTGCTGGGGGAGGATGTCGGCGAGGTATATCCGGGCGTAGTTGAGGGGCTGGTCGAGGGCTTGGCGGATCGATTTCGAGATGAGTCCGCGGACGCGGGTGGTGTCGAATTGGTAGAATTTGAAGTTGAGGTAAGGGAATGTGGATTTAATGCTCGAGAACACGTGCGGCTCGTGGCGGACCCACAGGAAATGGAAGACGACGTTCTCCGGGCAGGTGGAGTGCTGGAGGATCGAGAGGACCGCGGCCACCGTGCCGCGGAGGTAGTTGGCGTCAAGGGTCATGGCAATGTGGATGGTGGTATTGCCGTTGGCGCCGTTATCCGGGCAGGTTTCGCCATTGCGGAAGGCGGGGGCTTCGCGGAAGGAGAGAGGTGGGGTGTCGGCGGCGAAGGGGTTGCGGGTGGGGGCGGAGGAGGGGTAGGGTTTGGTGGAGGCGGAGGCGGAGGGGAGGAGAGACAGGAGGCCGAGGAAAAGTATGGAAGAGGCGAAGGCGACCATCCTGCGCTCATAATAATAGTAATAGTAATAATAATAATGAATAGGGAAAAGAAGGGAGAAGCCATTAGAGGGGAGGCTGGTGAGGAGAAGGTTTAGGAGTTGGATTATTGAAATGAATGATGGATATAGATTATTTGGAAACAAGGACAGAATTTTGTGGGATTCTTCCATCTTTCTGCGGCAGGGAATCATCCCACCACCATACATTCATTCATGCAATGCAACTATATATATATATCCTTTTTTTTTTTTATAACATTTATATATATTTTTTTTAATTTTTAAAATTGGGAAAAATATTCTATGACTTCCATTAACTTCATTTTTTTTATTAGCTTATTATGTTATCTAGTACTCATTTCATTAAAGATAATTATTATGAGTTTTTTTTTTTCTTCATAAATGTATAAATTAATAAATGTTTATTAATGTCAATTTAAAAAACAAATTAATATGTGTTGCACTAATCAATATGAATGATCCAATAAATATGTTTAGCACTAACTCAAAAAAATTAAAACATATGATCTAAAATTATAAATTGAATACTTATGTATGCTCATATGACATAAATTCTTCTCTTGTTTGATCTTAGCTTGTTGGCAATGATCTATACAGTTAAACCTCTATAAATTAATACTGTCCGAACTAGAATAATTCTATTAATTTAGCGAAATATTAAATTATCGAACTAATAATTTAGTAGGTTTTTACTGAGTGAGGACCAGAAAAAACTATTATTTAAGCGAGATTATTAAATTTATTGAGGTTTTACTGTATTTTCTTATCACCTTTTTTTTATGTGTTTTCTTTAATGTTTGAATGATGGTACAATATTTCCATATTCTTCTTTTTATGTCAAATAACAAACAACCCCAAAGTAGGTTTAAATTGCAAAAAACTCCCCTTTTGGTTCTGAGAATACAATTGTCCTCGCTCCGTATATTTTGGGCTAACAGCTTCCTCCTCGTGAGGAGGAAAAGACAAGAATTTAAAATAAAGCTTTAGATTACCTGCAGCATGCAAATTTTAATGTAACATTTTGTGCCACCTCTCGTCTATCACTGCTCGATAAGTTTGCCAATTTTTCACTGCCTCTTTGATTGCCAGTTTCGTCCTATTCATAGCTACATAAACAATTGCTAATGTGGCCTTTTTACTTGATCCACCAGTTTTAGAACCTTCACAAGTGATTCAATTAATGAACAAACTTCTCGGGCTCTGCTCCAAAATTTGTTATTCAATATGATACCTGATACATTTTCAGCTTCACTTCGTCGTATTATAGTGTTGTTATAAGTTTCCCACTCAGGAGTCGTACACATTCTCTTTAACTCCATAGAATGTCGAACAAGACTTTCAATAGCAATAAATACTGTTGCAAATCTTGTAATTTATGGCATTAACAACTCTCGATTTTGTGTACGACTTTATAAGATTCACTATTTTTTCACTGTTGTAAATAAAATTTGTAAATTTTTTTGCCTTTTCTAAGCATCTTTTTATTTTGGTCATCTTACCGATATCTTCCAATATCAGATCGGTGCAATGTGCAGTGCAAGGAGACCAAAATATATGCGGCCTTTCCAGCATCAACCATTTCCCAGCAGCTTTGTTCGAAGCTTCACTGTCTGTAACAACTTGTACAAGATTTTGCTCTCATATCTCATCAATGACTTTATTTATAAGGAACATAATAAACTCTGCGTTCTTTATTTTATTAGTACAATCCACAATCATTGATCGATTACAATATATCATAAAATTGATGATAGGATGCTTATTTCTTGTACTCCACCCATCACACATGATTCTACAACCATATTGTGGTCATTTTGCTTTCAAATTGGATATATATATATATCTGTCAATTTCAGAAACTTCTTCATCTAGACAAGTACTACCGATTCGACAGCTAGAAGGACCTATAATTCCGATCCCCGACTCAACAATAGTATTTATCATAGATTGATAACAAGGTCCACTATCAGCAGCATTAGATAGAATAATATTAAATTAAAACCACTTTGAAATAGGCTTACCAACTGCTTTGAGTTTTTGAGAAGCGAAAAATTGTTTGAACTTTTTTGTTTTGATGGGAACATGAAAGGATTTACCCCACTTGAAGACTTCTTAGGTCCTTCTCTTACGCTGGAACTACGAAATATTCCTCGATTCGTATCAGATGTTTGACCTCGGAAAGTACCACCAGCATGCCCTACAATTAAATAAAACTAATTAATTGACATGTTTTACAAGTATAACAATGTACTATGATATTAAAAGTTCATATTTAGTCATTGTATCGCATACGCTCCTCTTCATCGAAAGCTTGCTTTCGACTTTCTTTCATTGCATTCCGTAATTGTTTCTTCTCCATATGTGATAGATATTATCTATTTGCGTATCGGGAACCTTATTCGTCATCATTCTCACTGCTACTTTCAATATCAACGTCATGAATGTGCCTACTTTCTTCTCTAATGGACATTATAGCTGTTTTTTTTCTTTTTTTCATTATTTCTATGGCAGTTTTGTTTTCTTGAAAATGTTTTCGCAATATTACCGAAATTTCTTTCGAAGCCTTTTTACATGCCTCTACTTCTCCAGATGTATGAGCAATATGTTGTTTTAATCTGGTTATTCCTCCTATAGTAACTACTTGACATAATTTGCATTTGATTTTCTTTCGATTGTCACCAACCATATCACCGAAATCCCAATTTATATCAGATTTTGGACCCATTCTACATGATTGTGGAAAAAAATAAGTGCAATTAGAACAAAATACTAATTGATTTTAGTAATATGTAAAATTATTCTTTCTTCATACTATCTATATTAAATTATAAATTACGAAAATTGTATGACTATAAATAATAGATTATACACTACAATCTTTTAGCAACATACAGAATTGTAAATTAAAAAATTACAAACATATCAAATTGTACCTTTTACGGAGAGAACATTTGATGATTGAACACTTAATTTTTTTTCTTAATGACTTTGTTAATATACACGTAAAAAAATTTAAAAAGATGTATTTATCAAAAATAATAATAAAAGTAATTTCATAAATTAATAATTTATTAATTAATGTATAATTAATAATTTTTAATTTAACGATAAGTTAATATTTCGCTAAAAATTTTGATAGTCTCAATTGTATTAATTTATAGAGGTTTAAGTGTAGTATAATTTTAGCGATCAACTTCTCTATAAGTTATACTAAGGTTCTGTAATTAACTTCGTATGCAAGCCATTATAAAAGCTACATTATTTTTTTTAAGAAAAGGAAACTCCTCACAAGATCGATAATTTAGTCGTCAAATGCTTACATATTATTAATTATCGAAAGAGATCCACATACTAGTAATAGTAAACATATCAAAAACCTTTTTATGATACAAAACAAAACATCAAATTGTGTTTAACTGTTGAACTTTAACTTGACAGCAGTTATTGAAGTTCTTTCAAAGCTCGTCTTTTACGGGAGCTGTTTGGCCGTAAGACAATTCATCCCAATAATAAGGGAACTTCAATTTGGCAGCGGTGTGTGGCATATACCAATCCTCATATATGAACCTGCATCCATCAATATTCACATACAATCACAACACTTTAATCCAGACACAAGATGATTATATATATTGCTGTTCGATTGAAGGAGGTTCAACCTTGTTTTTTGGTGGTGGTGCCTTTTGAGAGGTCTTTCATGTTAGCACATAGTAGAATCCCAATTAGGGTTGAAATCGGACGGATCGGAATTAGCAATTTTGAAAAAAAAAATATGATTTTGGTTTTTCCGGAAGTGAAAAACTAATCCCGATTCCGTTCCCAAAAAAATATAGAAAAATCGGAAATCCAAATTCCAAAAATTTGAATAAAAAACTCGTCTCAAAATCAGAAATTTTTGGATTGTAATCGGCGGGATTCGAAAAGGTCCAATTTTTTAGTGACCTAAAAGAAAAAAATGCCTTAAAATATTGATATTATAAGTGTCATTTAAAAAAAATCAAATTATTTTCTGAAACTAAAAATTGGATCGGAAATCATAATCTCATATACCGAAAAATCAGAAAAAATCAGAATCGGAATTTTTGGAATTCGGAATGAAAAATATTGTTCCAAAAGCAGAAATATTCGGATAGGAATTGGCGGAAATTGGAAATTCGGTTCCAATTCCGACCCCTAAGCCCAATAGATATAAATAAATCCGTTGGATGGATAACAAACTCTCACAAAGTATATGAATGACTCCGAAGAGCATTCATTATAAGACATGAACGGAGTGTATCGGTTGTTGCTTTCCAAAAACCCAATGTACCAAAAGCTAAGCGGTCATATAAATCGTAGAGAGAGAAACTTAGAAAATGATAACTTACACTTTTATTGGAGGTCGAGATATAATAACCAGAAACTGCAAATCCTCGTGTTCGTTCGTATTCCAGACCTAGCAGAGAGGCGGCATAATCATCAGTGCATAACCAGAGATCTTGTTGCTAAGAGATTAAGAAACGACTAATGAGATATTAATCTATAATCAAGATGTTCAAAGTAAATATAAAAGAAACGAAGCAACCTCCAATAAAGTCAGAAACGGGGTAACTACCCGATTAAAAAAGAAAATTTGAAATTGAATAATCCTATTTTACTATATAAAGGCCTCCAGTTACAACAGGCTTTATAAACAATTTTGTCATTCCTAGAGCTTCAATCGCAATTGCAACGATAATTGAATCGAAAGAGAGAACATATTTTTCATACGGGCTATGTTCCCCCGTTGCAGATAAAGTTCCAACAACACGATCCACCATGCATAAATTGCACGACAGTGTCAAGATTTAACTTATGTTCTGCTTTCGTTCGTTTTCTGCTTGACATGCTACGAGAATTTTTCTCTGAAGAACTCCTAAAACACGCACTCCTAAACATATTAATACTAACTTATATACCTGATGAGCATCATTGATAGGGATATGAAATGTAGTATTCGTGAAAATCGGAAACTGTTGTGGGCTGCCGGGATAATTTTTATGCGAATCGGAGGCAAGATAAAGAGTGCCACTCCCTTTTAGAACCACAAATATCTCCTCACACGAGTGCCTGTGAATCGGCGTACGAGCGCCCGGTGCAAATGTTTGTAGCCACACCTCAATCTGCCAAGACCATAAATTCATCCGATCAACTTTCAGAAAAAAAAAAAAACAAAAACAAAAACAAAAAAAGAAACAATTATGAATATTTGAAGTTCACAATAAGCTATGATCACCTCTTTGAACCCGTGCATTACTGAACCGGCAATTGTAATGTGAGATAAACCGAGCCTACCATAGTTATCCTGATTAATCTCGCTGATATTCCGGACTATGGGCACGCCTTAAAAAATGAAAACGAAAAAAAAAACGGTTAGATTCTGATTTCTGATTCATACCAAGAAACTGGGGCTACCATTTTAACTTAATGCACACAACGTGTTTGTTAAAATGACTGAGAGAAAGGTACTTGCCGTTGGCTTCAAAGAGTGAAGAATCGGCGGCGGCGGCAGATAATAAAAGAGTAAGCAAGAATGGCATCCACATAGAATCCATGAATTTTTTCAAGAATCACTCGGCGCCAAATTTCTCCGTATGGAGTAAAGCTCAAGCTCAAGCTCAACTCAACAGGTTCGTCCCTTTCGTAATTATCATTCTCTTAGCTTAAGAGAATAACATCTTTGACCCTCGGGTTGTATTTTATTTGCGAATTTCACTCTTAAATTAGGAAACTTGCATTTTGCGCCCATGAAAATTTCAAATGATTGCACACTGCACCTCTAAGGCTATGTTTGTTACGTTTTCAAATTATTTTCACTCTTTCTCCAAAATAAAATTTTCTTTCTAAATTATTTTCAAAAACTTTTTCCAAAAAAAATTCAAATGTTTTCTTCTCTAATAAACATGAATTGACTGAGACATTAAAAAATGTTTTCACTATGATACAAACTTAAATCACTTCGGCTATATTTGGTAAGCTTCTCGAATTCTTTTCATTCTTTCCCCAAAATAAAATTATCTTTCTGAAATATTTTCAAAAAAATTCCCCAAAAAGAATTCAAAATTTTCTCTCTCCAAAAGACATGATTTGACTGCTACAGTGAAAATTGTCTTCACTAAATTACAAACTAAAATCACTTTATCCTTCAAATTCTTATTCCAAAATACCTTTTTCCAACACCTTTTAGACATGATTTGACTTGCTAGAGTACAAATTGTCTCCTCTCAAAACACAAAAGCTATGTTTGGACGCCTTCTCAGATTCTTTTCACAATTTCGGGAAATGAGAAGTATGTTTGGTTGGCTTTTGAAATTGAATTTTGATATTCTTTCGGGAAAATTAATTCCAATTTTCTCTCGATATGTGCACTCGGTTCTCAGACTTTGTCCCCCAACTTTTTCTTTGTAATTGAATTTTCTCACTCTCTCTCCTCTCCCCAACGCACTCTCTCTCTACATTTATTTTCTTAGTTAGGGTTCTTCATCTCCTTTCTCTCTCTGTCGGCAACCATATTCGTCTCTACACACATCCCGATTCTCTGATCAAATCAATTATCGTATTGAAGAAGGAATCCGATTCTTCAATTAATGTGGTACTTCATATTTGACTAATTAATAGTCAATTATTTCACCATTATCCAAGTATCACCTATTTTATTTGACTGTTATATATGTCTTACAATTATGTATAACTGACTTTTATCTAATTCTCTAATTTAGATGCCTAGATGTGTAAGTAGTCAGAAACAAACTCGATCTGAAAATGCTCAATGACCATTTGCTAATGAGAAATTTTTAATTCAACATAGCTATGACTATTACTTGCTCAATGACCATTTGCTAATGAGGAATTTTTAATTCAACATAGCTATGACTATTGCTGGTCAGTTGAACGAGTCCACTAATCATCAATTTCAGTACACTGTCAAACAGTGTAGAGAAAAATTCACAAGAATAAGGTCACTATGGAAACTGTATTATAAATTGTTGAACACAGAAACTGGATATGGGATTGATGAACATACAAAGAAGATTACCGGTGAACCGGAAAGGATTGCCGTAGTGATTGATGTAAGTGTGCGGTTTAGTTATTTTCAGTTTATAATCTCAGTTTTCGATGGACTACCTTGTAATATATAAGTTTGTTTATTGAATAGGGAAACAAGGAGTATGCTAGAATGCTTAATAGTGGAATCCCTCGTTACGATAATTGCACCGCGATGTTCTACAGAACTTATGTACCAGGTTCACATGCAAGGTCTGGATGTCAGGGGCCTCTTGACAGTGATGATGAGGAGACTGTTGGAGGTTCTATAAAACAAGTTTCTGGTGGCAAAAGGGCTAGCACTGAGTTTATGGCTACTTCAGACCATGATTGTGGACCAAGTAACCGTAGCAACAAGCAATACAAGCCCTGCAAGAAGGGTAAAGTTAACAAGACATAGTCCATGACCACAGTGATGCAGCAAATTGGTGGAATGATGGAGGCTAAGCAGAACAGCTGGCAGGTTAATTGTAATGACCAAATGAATGAATGTTATCGCATCATAAAGAGGCTGACTGGTTCAGATTCATCGCTTCGTATGAAAGCATTAACCGAAATTAAAAGCGCGACCATGAGGAGTTTGTTTCTGACCATGGATGATGATGATATACTGGTTTGGCTGAGTACTTTGCAGGGGTGATGGGTGCAGGGCTGCTGGGTTTAAGAGGTTTTTTATGGGTGCGGGCTGCTGGGTTTAAGAGTTTTTTATTAGGGTCGATTGAACAATTTTTCAAGTATTGTTTTAATTATCAGTTTGTATGCGTATTTTTAATTATCTATTTCTAATAGTGTTTCCTATTTTAATTCACTATTTGTTTATGTTCGAACATTTATGAATTATTCATGGTTGTCTTCAAATTTATCATTATGTTTACGACTTTTAAAAATTCTTTTATGAAGGAAAATGTCTTCTAGGAGTGAAGGTAGTCCAGGTAGCCCACGAAGTCCAACAAATAATTCAGGTGAAGAATCAAGTAATGAATCTCAAATATATAAGTTGATAATGGAAGTCGTGATACCGTATTTTTTTCCTATTCGGGTTCCTCGTAATACGTCTATGCTTCGTGGAAATGATTGGGTAGGTGAGATACTTCACGGCCATGATGGAAGGTTTTATGATAGTTTTCGAATGAACAAACCCTTTTTCATGTCTTTGCTGCACACATTAACAAGTCGAGGCTACTTAACACAATCGAAATACGCTCGAGTATCTGTTATGGAAGAGTTGGCCTTATTTTTGCGTACTGTTGGAATGCATCATCGACAACGAGATAGTATGGAGTGATTTCAACATTCATTAGAAACAATAAATCGTCATATTCGCAGAGTGATTAAGGCATTAAACTTATTGGCAATTAAGGTGATAACTCCTCCAAATTTCAATGAAATACATCCAAAAATTGCGGAGGAGCCCGACTTTGCGTTCTTCGAGGTAAGTTACTCTTACTCCATATAGATATGAATTAATTTTTCAATTAAATTATTATACTGATTATTTAAGACTTAAATACATACTTAACAGGATGCCATTGGTGCAATTGATGGAACATTAGTGCCAGCATGGGTTCCTGCCTCTAGACGCAATGCATATAGATCAAGAAAGTCACACGTGTCGCATAATGTCCTTGCAATATGTGATTTTGATCTTATGTTTACATACGTGTATGCCGGATGGGAGGGAAGTGCTAATGATGCTTTGGTACTTCGTAATGCCATTGCTAATGATCCAAAGTTTCCTTTTCCACCACATGATACTTATTTATTTTCAATATACTGTCATTTATATTATATTGAAATTTAAATATATACTAAGTCTAAAGTGTCACAGGAAAATATTATCTTGTTGGTGCTGGTTATACGAACTACATGTGTTTCTTTGCGCCGTATAGAGGTTGTAGGCGCCATATAGAAGAATTTAATAGAGGTACTCGAGCAATAACCGGACCAAACGAGATCTTTAATTATACACATGCACGCTTAAGGAATTGTATTGAACGATGTTTCGGCATTTTGAAGAAGCGCTTTCCAATTCTGGCATGGGGAATGCCAAGCTACAGGATTCATAGGCAAGTGCAAATGGTCATTGCTTGTTGTGTCTTACACAACTATATCCGAAAGTTCAGTCGCGATGATGAAATTTCAACAAGGAACTTGAACCGGAAGACGTAGATGTGGATACATTCTACCACAAAGGTCATCCAAGCCAAGCTATGGTTCAAGCTCAAGGTCTATTTAGGGATGGAATTGCATATTCCTTGTGGGAACAATATTCAGCTTCTTGATCATTAAACATAAGGGG